TGCTCTCGAGCCCCCCAGCCGATGAGGCCGGCCTGCGGAGCGCCAGGCAGACAGCACCGACCGGCAACAGCTGAAAAGGAACAGGAACATGTCTTTTTCCCCAGCTCTGACGATTTGTATTGATATGGAAGAAAAAGATCTACTTTAAAAATGCTTGTTTGTGCATGGAGTTTAAGAAAAGCTACGTGCATCTCCAGACAGTGAAGGCAGTTATGTAGGAGAGCTGACTTGGTAAAATGGACAAAAATGTTCCACAGGCATTTTTCTGCACGCTGGAGCCTGCGTTAAGAGTGCCCCCAAACATGTCTCATTTTAAAAGGCGAGATAAAAATAAAAGCAAGATGGGAGGTAAGTTATTTTAATTAATTTTAATCAAGCTACAAACTTTAGTATATATAGCACCTCCAGAAAATAATCTAGTCCCCATTGTCTGTGTTTGTCTGAGAAGTCATCAACTTTTTGAAGACACTTAATTTCACAGTGGTTGCCTGAAAAGGAGGAAAGAGTAACAAATGACCGAATGATTAGTCACCAAAAAATGCAAACTGTCAAGGAGCAAAACAAAAAATTCTTATCCACAGATTTCCTTGCAGTCCCTAACGCAGTGGCACAAATGCACTAGGGAAAAACTTATCCCTCTCTTTTGCACTGGGATGTAACTGTCCACGCCAATGACTCACTGCACACAGCCACTGCAGAGGTTTAAAAGTTGTAAATTTAAAAGAATTGCGATATTAAAGCATATCAGGAGGAATTTAAATTAAATTTCTGCCATAATTCTGAGTTTCATTATTTTGATGGATTTGAGTTGTACATTCTTCGCGTGGCATGTTACTTTTCTCCTTTGGCTAAAAACGTACAGCAGAAACTGTAGAACTAGTATGCAAAGGCCTCGTATTAAAACCAGGGTAGCTGGTGATGAGGTGCAGAGAAAGACAAAATGGTCAAACGGGACTAAGACTGCAGCTACAAGATCACTGAGTGCAGTATGAATCCTGAGAGAATGAAAAGATGCCAAGGGGAGGAAAGAGACAGTATCTGTCTCTTGGTTTTTCTTCATATCTTTTGAAGAGCTGTGAATTTTCCTTGACAGCAAAATCCCTGTGGCTAAATGGTATTTATTTTCCCTGTTATTTTTGCATGACTCCACCCTTTAGATAAGAAGCAAGTTACTCTCTATCGCTTGTCACAGGCAAGGTAGAAGCATATAAACACGTTTATGTGTTTTGAAAAAAATTCCTAAGGGTTAGGTGAAATATTACTTACCAAACAAGGTTTTAATTTCAGATTCAGGAACATAAAACGGTGGGCCTGAAAGAAAATGGGCAAAGCTAATCAGAGAGAAGACACAGGAAGGAGACAAACATTTACGCTGCAGCAGGAGAGTCAGCCCCATCACTGGGGGCCGCAATCGGCCCCCAGTGTGCAGCACCATCTGCAGGGACCAGAAAACACTGTGTTCAAGAACTCGTAGCACCTGGGTGGGCCACCAAACAGCTCCAGGTGTTGCTGCTGCATCATCTCCAGACTGCAGCCAGGGTAGCCACATTGTCAGAAGTCATGAACACGCCGTGGATACAACCGCTCCCAGTGCGCTGTGTGAATCCGGCCAACAATCTCTTTATACTACAATGGCATAATTAAAGCTAAAAGCTGAATAATGTGGGAGGGAGAGCGATGAATTAAACTATTGTTGCTTATGATAACAAGACCTATTTTTTCCAGAGGTAATTATGCTGAAAAGCCCAAAAGCAACAAGAAATCTCTTTCTTTTGAGAGTTAATAATTAAAAAAAAACCCAACACTTTTAAAATACCTCAGACTTCAGTACGTAATAGAAGTTATAAGAGGAAAAAATACTTTATGATTTTACAGAATTTCACCTCTTCCAAGCATCTTCAGACCATGGTAGTAGCTGGGAGAGAGCCACAAGATGGGCAACACGTTGGGTTGCAAGTATTGGGTAAACAGAGCAAAGCTAATGTCCTTGGGAGTGCTTCAAGCTCCCTAGGCCAGACAGGATGTTACTCTAAGTATTCACTCTTCCAGATTCATTGTCATAGCCACACTTCCAGTTTCATTTCTTTGTTAATATACCATATGTCTGTCCTCCACTTACCCTTAGCATGTCTGAATGCTAGAGAGAAAGCAAATTTAGTCTCAAGCTTGGGCAACATCTAAAATTTGTAACACAAAGTTGTATTGGTGTGAACAGCTGACAAAGCTATGCTGATAAAAAAACTGGGGAAGATACTAATACATCTACCACATCTATATACAATTTGTATTAAAGCATGCAAAATCAAAACATGAAGAGTGCAAAGTTCTCACCTTTGTGTTTGTTTGGATCATATGAAACCGTAACGAGGAGATAAGAAGAATTTTTCTTCATTAGGATGGTCATCAAACTGGCATAGCTAAAAGGAGAAAGTTATACTTTATTATTTTGGAACTGTACAAACATTCAAGCATAGCACTCAAAATATTCAACAAAAAGGGTAACGTATTTCTATGCAAAGACAACTCGAACTGAACCTCACAGAAACTAAGCAAAGCTTAGCTTGAATTTCATGAGCATGAAATTCATGCTACACATGAAACGCCTCAAATAAAGGTTACTGCTTACTCCTCATAAACAAACATTTATCTTTTTTGCATATTCATCTCAAAACTAACAAAGAGTATTCATCTGCCACAGTCTAGAATACAGTACACAATACAGTACTGATCTTTTAAAATTATTGTGAAGTCAAGATTATGTATCTACTTAAAAAATCCTGGGGGTAGGGTCAAACTACACTTGGGTTGGCTATAGGCAAGAACAAAAAATTGGAATAAAGGAAAGTGAGGGGAAAATGAACACAGAGAGGAGAAGCAGATGGGGTGGAAAGGAAATAATAAAATTCAGATGAGACTCGCAGCTCTGCTTCTGCTGGGTTGCAACAAACCACATATTTTCCCACCAAGAGGCAGGGCGGCTTCCTGAAGGAAGCTCACAAATCTAGAGTACAGCACTCTGCGACTGCAGCTGATGCTTGCGGTGGAGACGAACTTGTGTAGCTTACTCCTTTAAATGAAACAACTCATCAACAAGTGGCAGGAGGAAAAACACGGGTCACTGCACACATTAGAGAGAAGACAGTAACAAAGCAAATTTACTAACCGTTGTCTGTCGCATGGATTCACAGCTACTAGAGCTCCTCTGTCCCAAACCCCATCAAACTTGC